AAAGTTACCCTAGATTAGAGCCACTTAAAAGTTGTTCCTCGGCTTCCCAATGCTGTCTGCATTCTCTCCCTCCCTCTCTCTTCTACAATCTCTTCAGTGCCTTTAAATTCATTCAGTCTCTTCTTCCATGCTATCTAATGTGCCATTAATACTGGTGATACTGTTCAAAAGGTTTAAATTTCTTGTGCATCTATTGTGTAAGCTTTGTAGATTGTATTAGTGAAGTGAGGTACAATACTAAAGTACTAATTTGAAAAACAATTATTAGTGGATGGTCGTGAAAATGTAGTAGATCTTCTATAACAGGAGAAGTAGCGTCTTGAAAGCCTAGTTGATAGGGATATGCCATGAAGATATATTGGAGTTTAACCAATAATCTAACTTTGATGAAGTTATGTAATGTTTATCTGAAACATATTTTATCTCAGATATTTATTCACCAGTAGAAGTTTTCAATGGGTCTTTAAAAAATATATCTTCCATATCCCAACTTTATAAGTAGATGAGATATAGTTATAATAACAGTTTTAATGTCCTTTGTTAACTTTAATATATGTGCCAGTTTTGGGTCATCTTCAAATGAATGATTATGTTTTTAGGAGCTGTTTTTTTCCTCATTATGAGTTATGTTTTTTCTGCCTCTTCCCATGCCTGACAATCTTTGACTGAATATCAATTATTGTGAATTTTACCTTGTTGAGGGCTAGGTATTTTTTTTTTCTGTAACTGTTACAGAGCTGATACATTAGAATTACCAGGAAATCATCATAGCCTTAAGATCTTGCTAAAATAATACCTTAGATGAGTCCAGAGCAGTACTCAGCTCCAGGCAGATTCCTTAGCTGAAACCCTGGTAAGAACTCTGATTCCTCATGGATTATGATTTTTTTTCCCAGTCCATTTGCTGGTTCTCAGGCCTGTGTGAAGACCAGGCACTATTTCCCCAGTCCTTTCAAACGTTTCCTTCGCTGGTCCTGGATCATTTCTTCATATGCATGTACTGTCCACATTGTAGGGCATTCAGGGAGACCTCCTGAAGATCTCTGCTTTTCTCTCTGTGCAATGGTTTTCTCCTGTGGTTTGTCCTGCGAACTCTAGCTGCCTTGGTATCTCGGATTCCCAGCTCCATCTCCCAATGTAGGAAGTTCCCTGACCGCAGCCTCAGCTCATTCAGGAACTGTGCCACAGTGTGGGAACTAAAGGCGGTAAGCTCCAGCATTTGTTCCTCACTTCTCACGAATGACTGACCCTTGATGCTTGGTATTCACTTTTTGCAAACTATTGTTTTACACATTTTGTGCCTTTTAAAATTCATTTTGCTTCTCTCAGGTGGGAGGCCAAACAAGTTCCACTTAGTCCATTTTGACCAGAATTAGAAGTCTTCATTCATTCTTGCATTTACTGTCCTCTCTTGGGCATCTTGTCTTTCCTTCTCCCCAGATAATCACCCTTACACCTCTATCTACAAAGATGCTTATGAGACTTTTCCTTATGAGAACAAATTCCCTGAACACACACACACACATGCACACACACACACACACGCACACCCCTACTTCTGGCTCTCTCTTTCTTACTTTTCCCCCTTCCCCTTCTTTCTCTCTTTGTCCTTCTCTCTCTTCTCCTTTCTCCTTCCCTTCCTCTTCCCCTCCCCTCCTTCTTTCCCTCCCTCATCCTTTTCCTCCTTCCCACTCTATCTTTGGTCTGTCTTGTAGAAAGAATAGTCTATATACAATCTTAGTCAAATAGTCAAGCAGTAAAAATGATAATCTACAGCTCAATCTCTTTTCTCAATTACTATCCCTTCATTTCTCAGATTGGATATTACCCCAATAATCTACTGAAACTGTTCTAGCCTTGCTTATTAATGACCATGTTGTTACCACCCACTGGTCATCTCACAGACTTATATTTATATTATTTGACTCGTTCTTTTTATTTCTACTCAAAGGTAACATTCACTAAGCAACCTTCTTTAATACCCAGGTTAGAAATAATCATTTTTAATTTTTGTATTTATTTCATCAAGTACAGCACATATCACATTCTGTCATATCGTAGGGTCTGGCATAAACATTAAATGTGAACTGTTTTATCATTAGAAAATGTTATCTTCTGAAGACAATGTAAACCTCATGGTGGCAGGGAGGCTTCCAAAGAGACCTTCAAAAAAACACTGTGCCAAGTTCTGGGTAACTGCAAATCACAGAAGTTTGATATCCAAACAGTTAGCCAATTTAATATCTATATCCTCAAAAAAATCAACTGGCACTCAGTGTCATGGTTGGTTTGAGTGAAACAAAAATAGCAATTAAAAATTTAATAAAACATTAAATTATAATTCATAAATACATTATAAAATTAGATAATTTTTACATTATAATTCAAAACTGTTCTAGCAATAGTGCCAAAAGATAACTCTAATACAAGTAACTGAAGAAAAGCATAGTTTTTTCATTCTTACATACATTTTAGAAGTTACTTTGCCTGACAAGAATTAAGCTAATAAGGTTTTTATAGCCTTGTAGCACGTCACTCAAAAGATATCCACGATCTTATAAAAAACTATTAAGTACAGAATCACATCAGAAATGCTAGGCCTTGGATAGCACTCAACTTCATTTGTAGACTTGACCTGGTATCCCACTTTTGTCACAAGCTGTATAACAATGGCTATATTACTATATCTTTGATCCTCAGATGACTTAAAAACAGAGTATGAAAAAAGATTTTTACCTGTTAAAGCCTTTTGTAAGGATGACAGGGAACATTTTACATAAAAACACTATGTGGAATCAGTGTACTCATTTGTTCATTCATTTGACACACACCTATATCTACTCATGGCCAAATTTGTGTCAGGCTATAGGTATACAATGGCAAGTAAGATGTTGTACCTGCCCGTAAGAGATTACAGGCTTGGAGTGGGAGATTGACATGTAAAAAAAAGAAGGGTAACAGACACTAAATGGTAGAAATATAAACCAGGTCCAGTATGGAAAAAGAAGGGAGTATTCAGTTCTGTCTGAGAGAAAAGGCAGATAGTCAGGGCTGACTTCATGCAGACTTTACTTAAGCTCTCTGCTCATCCTCAGGAAAGTTCCCAGATCTTACTCTATTTTTCAAACTTACTTGTGGCAAAACCTGACCTGAACTGATATAAGACTCTTGATCACAGCCAGGCGCGGCCACGCATGCCTGTAGTCTCAGCACTTGGGAAGGAGAGGCAGGAAGATGATTGCAAGTTCAAGGCCGGCCTGGGCTACAAAGTGAGCTCAAGGCCAGCCTAAAGTGCACAGCAAGACCCCAACTCAAAAAGACAAAAACAAACAAAAAAAGACTCTCGATCATTAATATTTTTCCTACTTGTCAGGAAATCCGGGGGTATGATTTCATGACCCACCCATCACCTAAAACCAAGAACTGAGTCCTCTGTGGCTTCTCTGTCTCTCGTGCTCCCAAGTGGTCACTGAGTCCTGTTAATTCTAGCCTTCACATAACAAATCCCACCTATTTCCTCCTTTCTGTTCTCTCTGTGTCTGCCTTCACTAAGGCCTTCATCACCTGGGTTGCACCATTACACTCATCCTCTGCCTCCAAATGTGCTTCTCATAATTCAGCTTCCACATCCCAGCCAGCTTGATCCTTCTCAAATGAATACCCGAGCATAGTTTCTACTTAAAATACCTTCTTTATGACTCTACACTATCTACAAAGAAAGCTCCCATTTCTGGAAACAGTATACAGAGTTTGCCAAGTTTCAGCCATCATCCTCAACTGAACATACACTGCAGTTATGCAGAAATGTGGTTTCCAAGAGGATTCACTCTCTTTCACATCTCTCCACCTCATCCAAGCTTTCCCTTTGATCTATAATCCTCTCTCTTCTCCTACCCCACTCTCTTGTCCCTATCTACTGTCCTGCCAAGCAACTTCAGAGCCAATGCAGAGAACTGCATTGTGCATCCTCTCCTTCCTCCATGCCCTCACTTTTGTATATTTCTAGATATGAACTGAAGGTCTATGTGGCCAGGAGACTGAGTCCCCTGGGGTACTGGGATCAGTGCTGATCCCCAGTGTCTAAGACTGGACCTAGCACACAATAGATGCTCAAAAATCTGGCTAAATATACAAGTGTTTCAACTTTCCCCAAAATGTTTTGCCCTGCTTATCAAGTCTCCTTCCATGGCAAATGTGGTCTTCATCTCCTACAACTATTCTTCCATTACTGTCTAATTTATACTCTTTCTTGTGTCACTGTCAGAAGAGGAAGAGGAAGAATTTGAAGAGTGACAAAAAACCTAGGACAAACTGTCACCTTTGGCACTGACAACATTTTGCGCCAGATAATTCTTCGTTGTGGGGGCTGACCTGTGCCCTGTAGGATGTTTAGTACCATTACTGGCCTCTACCCACTAGAGGCCACTACCACCTATTCCCAGTTGTCTGCTGTAGGGTGGAGAACATAATCTCCCCTGATTGAAAACCACTGTCTCAGAATAAGTTCTCTTTAAAAGTCAAAAACAATAATGGTAAAACTGATCAATGTTCTCCTGCAGTGACTACAGTCCAGGTGAAAAATGAGGAGGGAAGAAAATTCAGACTGTTCTAGGGATGCTGTTTAGGGAGTATGTGAGCAACAAAGGCAGGCTAGAGTGACACTTCAAAGGAAGATAGCACTCAGAGTGCCTGATATGAATCCATTTTGCCAGAGAAACAGAGTTCCAGACTTTGGGATTAGTTCATATTAATATTTTCTTGACTTATTCTGTGGCACTGAAATGATCAACAGGAGGGACAGGGGATATCGCAATTTAATGCTCTTAAACCTACCTCAAATCTTTTTTAAAAAGAGATAGAATATTTAAAATTAAAATTAATACACTGACTGACACCCTAAACTACAAACAAAAGGGAGGGGAGCAGTTACACAACTAGCACAGGAAACTGGAAAAGTTGGGGCTGAGGAGGAAGGGACAGACGGTCCGCACTATACTCACCTGTGGTTGACACGACATTCTCAGGGCTTTCACTGCACAGCTTTGACAGCAGACTTGTCTTGCCAGAACCTGTGAGGCCTATACATACCAGATCATACTCTGGTCGTGCAGGTGGTGGTCCCTTGCAGCAAAGTGCTCTAAAACACTGCCGAGAGAGAGAGAGAGAGAGAGAGAGAGAGAGAGAGAGAGAGAGAGAGAGAG